TGTAACCTCATGTTCTGTTGCTTTGAACATTTTTATAAATCCTAAAATGTTAAATTTAATCAAAATAGCTTTTATTTGAACAGCATTAATATTATTACATATCAACTCGATTTGTATTTCTTTTGCTAGCAATTAAAGCCAGTTTCTTTAGAGAGTTCTTCTGCTCCGTGCATAGTCTTTCCCTAAAAGGAAATGGATATTCAAGCCTAGAGATCTACTATCTTCCCTTTGGTGTCCACACACGCTACTGTGCCATCATTTTGAGCAACCAGCAGGTGAGAACAGAGTCCTAATCTGTGCTTCTGTCATGCACTTTCACTTTAATGAAGTCAGGAATAGAGGCAACTTGAAGGCAACTGGAGAATCTAGAATTGCAAATGAGGTCCTTAAGTTGCTAGGCAAAGATCTTTACCTCCAGAATATCCAAATACCTCTGTTATTTGAGGGTAAATATTATGATGCCTGCATGTAGAAGTCCCATGGGAACATTTTAGAGGCTTGCCTAACCTTGCTGCAACTCTAACTATACTAGGTATCTATAGCTGTACCACATCATACACTAATGGCTTAAAACAACACATGTTTGTTATCTCACAGATTCTATAGCTGAGAGTTCTGAAACCACCTTGATGGTTCACCTGCTTAGTGTCTACCAAGTATTCTGTCAAAGAATTAACCAGGACAGGTTTCTTAGAGGTTCAACAGATGAAGAATCTGCTTACAGACTCCCTCAAGTTGTTGGTACAAATTATTTACTTGTAGTTCTGGGACTTATACAGCTGACTTCTTTAAAATTAACGAAGGAAAGAGCAAATAGAAGATAGAAGGAGAAAGGGATAAGGACAGATGAGAAAAAATTTATACCATTGTCATCTTCCAGAAAGACATTGCTACATGCTGACCTGAGGAGGAAAGTTATAATTGTTAGAATTGAATGTATGTCTAAATATATCAGTTGTATGTCCATTATATTTAGAACACATGCAGTTGAATGATAGTAATTACATGGAGATGTTATACTTACCTGATTTCTATTAAATCAATTGTACATTTAAAATAATATAGTTTACTAAATATGCGGAGTATAATTTAATTTTACACACAAAAGGAAAATGCCTTTTTATAACAATGTACAATCTTATTATTTCTTTTTAAAAAGTTGGACTACTAAGGGTGTAGGTCAATGTTACAGAGCTTGGAGCTTCATTTCTAACACTGCACACACACAAATAGTTCAGGATTGAATGATATTGTTCACTATGTAAAATTTGTGAAAAAATATTAAATATAGTGTGACCAGTAGTTTGATTAAATTTCTCGAAATCTCATTCTATTAAATTATAATACCACCTTAGAAAATACTAGAATTAACTATTGGTAATACAATAAGAAGATGAATTTTATTCTTTGAAATTATTACAATATTAATATTTGATTACATACATTTAGTCTAACTTAATCAAGATATAATTATACTTCATTTGACACTGCAGTTTATTAAAACATATCTTTGATTACTCATATTTATCATTTTCACAATATATTAAGAAAGATATCTTGGAATTTTATTTTTTGGAAAATAATCCTCCAATTTAAAGGATTTCCATGAATTAAAATTACTTATGTCTGGAAATACATGCATTAATTTACACATTCAATTATATTTCTAACTATATTGAAAAATACAATTACATGGTTAACTAGACAAACATCGAAATTCCCATAGTTAGCTTGTGTTCTTAAGCATGTGATAAGTCCTTTGTAATTATGACCCATATGTTGAAAATTTTAAATTAGAACTATTTTCTATGCTACAGAAATCCAAATAAATGTCTGCTATTCAAAGGCATAGGATCGATTAAATGGACATACTTCAAGCAGACTCATGGCTCAGTGTGTATGGATTTATATCTTCTGGGAGGATAGGTTTATGAAGATGCTTTACAAAGCATACAAACATAGTAAAGTGGACAGCAGTGTGTTGATACATTGTTTTGTCTTCATTGTGGTGTCCAGCACATGAATATCTGCTCTGTGTAGTCCAGGGTTCCCATTCTAGGAAAGTACCTGGCATTGCTGAATTCATCTGTACCAAGTAGGTGAGTTCATCGAGCAGGACTTTTCACTTGGGACCTGGATTAAGAGTGACTTCATGGCATGAAGTTTCAAGACAAGATTGTAGGAGATCTATAATAGTACTTTGCACATTGTTATCTTCAAAATAGTTGCTCATATTACAAGACATAAGCATGAAAAATTGATCAAATAATATAAGCATAAACTTTTCTTTTCAATGACATAATAATAAGTAGTGGAATTTTATACCATTTATTTATTTGGACTTAGAGATTGCTTCATATGCATTTTAAGCTTCTTCTCTAAGGGCTGTCAGTGTAGTGGGCTTTCTGTGATATCAAATATCCTTAGCATCCTCCATATGAGGATACCATCATCTATTGAAAAAGAATCATATTATTTTTCTTTTCCTGAAGTGTGAATAAACTTTAAATCTTTCTTCAAAATTCTTAGTGCATGTTTGTAATTCCTGAAGTTTATAAAAAGTACCCATACATTTTTGCTAAAATATGTGTATATGAGAAAATACACATATGAGAAAAAAGAGTTTTTTTGTTTTGTTTTGTTTTGACTTGAGATATGATCTCATTATGTAGTCCATGCTGCCCTTGAAACCTCCTGCCTCAGACTTCTGAGTGCTGGGATTACAGGCGTGTGTCATCATGCCCACCTAAATAATTCTATTTGGAATATGCATTTCTATCACTGGATTAAGTTGTATATCATTTACGTGAACATTGTCAACTTGAAGATATATTTACAAGTCTATTATTTATGCTGACAGTATTATTTTAAAATTGTGGAATGCTCCAAAATAATTACAGTGCCAGCTTCCAGAGCACATTTCCTTCATTTTAATTTTCAGGTTGTTACATGCTTGCTGCAAGGCCACTATGATTTAAGATTCCTCATTGTATGTAAATTTTCCAGTCTTCATTTTTCTCTATCCTCTCAGGTCTTGGCCCCACCCTAGACCTTTTGAGTAAGATCTGCCTTTTTACTGGGTCTTTAGATGATCTATATGCATGTCAAAGTTTGCAAAAACTCACTTCCACACACACACATTCTCTGTTTAAATAGATTTCTTAAATGCCAGGTAAATGCCAAGGAGTTGTGTGCTACCTCATGTAATCCACAGGGAATCCTTTTGTTTTGAAGATATAATGAGAATTTAATGTTTTATCATGGGAAATACATAAAAGAGAACAAAAAAATAATTTTCTCTTTTCATAGTTTTAAAAAAATTTATGCATTTGAATGAGAAAAAAGATAAAATAGCAATGAAACATTTTGCCACAATTCTTAACTATGCCAGACTCTTCTATAAAGGACAAATTAACTTGACAAAAGTCTGTTAATATGTACGTTTCATAAATACATGGGAGAAGTCAGGGAATGATTAAATCTCATGTATCATTTTTATAAAATAATAGTAAATTTGCAGAGAAGTGGCAACACAAAGGAAAGGACTTTGTGTCTGAAAAGGAGGCCAACTGCAGGAAGTCATGTGATTGAAAATTTGTTATGTGGATTAATTTTAAGTCATTTCCAGGGAGACAAGTGTCCACAATTGTCTTCTTGATTAACGTTTTGCCTTGCTGATAGCACTCAGACAAAGGTCTGCTCTCTAGAATTTATAAAGAACTAAAAAACACTAGGGCTCCAAAATTTAAAGACCAAGTCCAGAAATGGGCATCCAAGATGAACACACACTTCTCAGAGGACGAAATTAAAGAAGTGAATAAATGTATGAAAAAATGCTCCACATCACTAGCCATCTATGAAATGCAAATTAAAGCAACACTGAGATACCATCTCACTGCACAAAGAATGGCTATCATCAAGAAATCACCCAACAACAAATGTTGGAGAGGCTGTGGGGGAAAAAGGAATAACTGTCCACTGCTGGTAGGAATGTAGAATGGTGTAACCATTATGCAAATCAGTGTGGAGACTCCTTAAAAAACTAGGACTGGAAATCCCATTCAAACCAGCTATTGTGGGCCAGGGAGATAGCTCAGTAGAATAAGTGCTTGCCTGGCAAGTGCAAGGGCTGGAGTTCAATCCCCAGTTCTGAAAAAAAAAAGAAAGAAAGAAAGAAAGAAAGAAAGAAAGAAAGAAAGAAAGAAAGAAAGAAAGAAAGAAGAAAAGAAAAGAAAAAAACCCCAGCTATTCCCCTACTGGGAATTTTCCTGGAGGATCTGAAAACATTATATCATAGGAATATATGTGTGCCTATATTTATAGCAGCACAATTTGTGATAGACAAATCTTGGAAACAACCAAGATACCTGTCACTTGAGGAATGGATGTAAAAGATGTGGTATTTTTATACAATGGACTATTATTCACCTGTAAAGAATGATAAGCTGATAGAGAAGAAAAGAAGATGCTTTTTGTAAATTTATAGCTTACTTTTAAACAAATGTTAGAGATTAGAGTTTTTATGTTTGTTTTTAATTACTTTCAGTTTAAAATAATTATTTATTGCAAAGGAATTACAATTTAAGATTCTATGTTCTGGTCTCCTACACACATAACTGTAGAGACAAAACTGTAATAAATCTTCCCCGTACCCTTCACCTAGTTTGAACAGTATGTAACCAATGAAGTTTAATGTTTTTCATGAAATGAATTTCAATTATTATATACTTTTATTTATAAGCATTCTTTATCTTTAAAACAAAGATTCCCTTTTTTGACATGGCCCTTGATACAGTTCCTATCATTCAATATATTGTAAAATTTTCTTAGTACCTTCAGGTAATAAGTAGTGTTCAAATTCCTTAACTGTCTCGTGAATGTTTATTATTCTTCTCTTCTTTCAAAATTATTTGTTTGCTTCAGAAACTAAGATTCCTCCCCTTAGACTCTGTCTTTTAAAACTCCTCTCCAAGTCCTTCTCTTAAATTCTGCATACCAAGAATAAAGAAATTACTCCTTCCATTTTACCATGGAGGAAACTGGGACTCTAGAAATTTTATAAACTTGACTGAAGTTTTTTGGGTTTTATTTGTTTGTTTTGTTAGTTGGTTGATTGCTTTTTTGTTTCCGACAAAATATCACTAAGCAGGCTCAGGCCAGCCCAGAACATATATATGCAGGATATATTTATAGGGGAAAGAAAGCTTGTGGACAGGAGTTTTGACTGTATTCATAATTTATGCTGGTGATGTTATTATGTAGCCCATGCATGTTTCATAGTTTGTTTAGTTTGTCTACTCCAGATTTAAAGGTATTCCTCCTACCAAAGATGACAATTCCTGGTGGCTATTGAGAGCCTTTAGATAGAATCTCTGGAGAGTATCTCTGACTGTTGGTTCACAACTATGACCCCTTTCAGCCTGAAGAAGCCAGAGCAGTCATCACCCATGGTTCCCTCAAAGCAGTTCAGGTTACTTCTTCAGAGGGGGGAAATGTTGCAGGCTGTGGACTTAGAAAGAAATATCATAAGCAGTGAAACAGGGCCAGGCCCTCAAGGAGACAATATGGAAGACCAAGTGACTTTGCAACTTGGAAGCGACAGACACTCCCATATGGTCCAGATCTCAAGACAAAAGAGTAAACAAACACAGCTACATAATTCCCTAGGGATAGGCATCAGGGATTGATATTCTAAATAAGTATCAAATACCTTAAAAGACCCCAAATGAGTCACTATCCCAACCCCCAACAGGAAGAGATGCTGTCCTGCTTGCTACATGACTTGCTTCCTCATTTGGTATTGGATTTAATCAGTTTTTACCTGAGGAATGGTACTTGTAATCTCATTGCTTGACCATAGTTTTGTCCAACCTCATGCCCAGCCCTGAATTTACGATGATCATTCTGCCTCAGCACCGAGAGTCCTGGGATTAGAGATATGCAACATTGTGTCTGGCTTGCTTGAGGTTATTTTCTTTACTTTTTTAATTAATTAATTAATTGTTTATTTATTTATTTTTATAGCATCTTGCTACGCAGCAACTCGGACTTTATCCTCCTGTCTCAGCCTCCTCAGTGCTGGGATTACAGGCATGCACCACCACACCCAGTTTTTGTGGCTGGCACACATGGGGTTCAGTTTAGCATGTGGTTCTGGGGAGTAAACTCATGTCCTTATGCTTTGCAGGCAGCTGCTTAGACTATGTCCCCAGCTCCTTGCTTGAGTTTTAATAACTAGTATATGACAATGGCGAACTTAGGCATGCCCATTTGTGTTGAATTTTCACTGCCATTTTGTTAGCCTTAGATTTTTTTTCCACTTTTATTTTAACCTTTTCCATCTAGCCCTTTGTATTTAGGTAATTCTTTGTTTTAAAATATTTTAAGCCACTCACATGTTCACTTTGAAAGGCTGTGCTTTAAAATACAGACTCTTAGGGACTCAAACACCCTGCAAAATTCTGTCACTCCCTACAAAAATAAGTTACAGAATGAAGGAAACATACTTCATTATTGCTTTTTTATGTTTTAAAGGTAGTGTTTTCCCAAGGATAATTGTATCTGTGAATATGATCTGAGAACTTCTTAATCTATACCCATGTCTGACTAATGCAGTTTCCCTCGCACTATGTTAAGAATATATTTAAACCTTACCCTTGTCCAACCATTAAGAAGCTATGTTGCTTAAAGAATTGCATAACAATTCTATTGTACAGATTGTGTTTTCAATGCAAAGAGTTATTATATTTTTACAAGTTCTCAAAATTTTGTCTTTAGATCGGGGAATTAATATACATTCTTCAAGGAAATGGTTTGATCCCCTTGCCTTCCAATTTCGTTTCGACAGACCCTTCAAATCCAATTGACTTCAACAGTTCATTGGAAGACGGTATAGTAAATAAAGATTTTACAGTATTTCATTTTTCATAGTAGTTAAAAGATGAAAAAAATGAGATTGGGGAAAAGGGTGTACCTCAGAAGCACAGTGCATGCCTGGCAAGTGCTAGGCTATGTGTTCAATTCTTGGTACAAAAAATTCATCAAAGATAGATCTATTCTGTAATAGTGAATCCTTTATGCATATTCATAGCAGTTTTCTACAGTATGATTAGATCTTGAAAGAACTCTTTCTGACTTTGTGTCAGTATCCATGAAATAGAGCATCATTTGACCATCTGAAATGTCAGTGATGATTCTTTCTTAAAGAGTTTTTAGTCTTCAGGTAAGTACTCAATACTCAAATTTGTTTTAAAAATATTATTTATCAAATAGACACAGTGTATAAGCCTGTAATCCCAGAACTCTAGAACAATGAGGCTGTGAGATCACGTATGCAAGCCCAACTTTTGCAACAAATGAAACCCAGTCAAATCAATGGAGGGAGCATTGGGGATGTGAGATGTAGTACAGCACTTGTCTAACAATGCAAGATGGTCTAGGTTCAATTCCAAACCTAAAGATGCACACATGCACATGTTCACACACACACACACACACACACACACACACACACACACACACACACACCACATAAAAGAAAACCAAGGTAACTACTAATTTCTTCACACTCTGTTTG